TTCATATGTATGCTGAATAGTGAGGTAACGCACAGTGGACAGGAAGGCACCTGGAGAGGGAAGTGGGAATTTTACAATAGGAAGGGATCGATATTGGTACTTGAATTCACTGTTGTCTGTACAAAGGGATTATCAATACGGCATGTCTGAACACAAAGATTGTTATGAAGATTAAATTAAAATAATTTGTATTCGAAAAACATTTTTAAAAACTTTTGTTCTTAATAAGTATGGTATAGAGTATAATTGTCTTTCTTAAAATAATAATGATGATCTTAATAAGGTTTGGAACGCTGTTTAATTTTCGCAGTTTGCTTTTCCTAATTAAGTAGATTTAGAGGTCCACTAATTGTCGAGTACTGCTATTTTCAGGGTATTATTCTAAGTGCATAGGTTGTATTATAGACTTAAAAGCAAAAAATCTCGGAACCTAGAATCTATGGGATATAGATGGACATGAAAAATAGAAATACTAAAAATGTATATTATATAATATGTGCTCTTGTGGTAAGTGCTTTGGAAAAGATAAAATGGTAGCTCAAGACCAGGTGGGGCTGGGAATGTTAAGGGTGAGGGGATGTGCCCAAAATGAAGGCCGGCCAAGGATTAAGCAGGGGGAGTAGACCGGCATCACTGAGAAGGTGAGTTCTGAGCAGCGAATGTGTTGAGGAAGCAGACATTGGACTATCTAGGGGAAGACCATTCAGGGGCAAAGCCCTCCAAAAGGGAGAAGTATGGCTAGCACGCTGGATGAACAGCAGGAGGCCCAGAGCACCTGGACTGGAGGAGTAGGTGAAGGCGCCAGAGAAAGGAGACAGAAGGGGCAGGTCAGCCAAGGGCTTGGTAGTCATTTGAAGGACTTCTGGCTTTGCTTGGAGGGAAATGAGAAGACCCCATAGTGTCATTGTTCTTATGACCTGTCTAATAATACTTACCAAAAAAAAAAAAAAATCTTCCTAACAAATCTGTTGAGAAAGGTGGTGAGTATAAAGTTAGAAGTTAGAAACCATGGGGTGAGGTCTAGAGGATAGAGCTCTGTTCTTGGGGTTGCAGGGGAGGTGCTGCCGAGGTCAGTATTTAGAAGGCATATAGAATCCTGTTTCCTGAGAATGTGAGGCACGGGAGGGAGGGCAGTCAAGGATAATAGAATCTTTACCATCCCTTTCATAAAATGTGGAGAAACATTTCAACTATTTCACAACACAGAGTCTTAATAGGTTTAATTGTTGCAAGAGAGATAATACTTTAAGTATCAAATATAGTGTCTTTCTCTTTTACAAAGGCTTATGATCTAAACTTACTCATCATTTAAAGAAATTTCCAGAGTATACTAGGAGCTATTTTGTGAAATCCAATACATGCAATTTATTCCTTTCAAAAGTTGACAATATAAGTAGGAAAATACCTGTCTTTTGGCTGAAAATTGGGTATGGCAAGATTATCCTAAAGATGGTTGTTTGGAAATATTTCTGTCATTGTTACATGATTTTGTTGCTGAAAACCGTGTAAATGTTCCTTCTGTAGAATGTGTTATATCTGTACACTTGAAAAGTTATAAACAGATTTTTTTTTCCCCTAAGAGTTAAACATTTTCCAAATAAAGCATGTCAGAGGTATTTTTCTCCATTTTGGATCTGCATATCTTTTTCATTTCTGGGGAGCTATTATAACCAAACACCAAAATATGTTGAATTTCATAACAAACCTTTAAAATGCTGAAATATAAAACTATCCAAACATTTTGGAGACCGTTGAGTAGATATATTTTTTTAATCTGAAGCAGTTTTGAAAATTGATATTTTTTCTCTTTCAAATACATATATCTTAATAATTTGAAGGCAATTCTCTATGGACTGTCTTTTGACATCTCCTGGAACATATTCTCATAAGTTGACTTCAAAAAAAAAAATAGTCTCTGCCTTCCCATTTATTAAAATATCCATACTTAAATGCTCAAAGCATCACCTCCTCCCCTTATCCTTCATTCTGCTTTGTACTTCTTCCTCTGACCTTTCATGGCATTTGGTCCGTATTTTTATTTTGTCACCTGAATCTAGTCATTCTAAGTTCTTTCACCCTCTAGCCTATAGAATCCTTAAGGACAAAGATGATGTTTATTTACTTTCTCTTCTAGGTCTGAGATCCTTCATTTGCTAAATAAGGACACTATATGTCCAACTTCAAAACATTACAATACTAATTGCCATGAAAATACCTCTAGTTCAGGTGCCTGGGCAGCTCAGTTGGTTATGCCTTTGGCTCAGATCAAGATCCCAGGGTCCCAGGTGCGAGCTTCCCTCTGCCCTTTGCTCGATTTGTTCTCTCTCTTCTGTCTCTCTCAAATTAGTAAATCATAAAAAAAAAAAATCTTCAAAGAAGGAAAAAAAGAGAAAATGCTTCTAGTTCAATTAACTTTTCTGATAGTAATAATATCATTTCCATGGCACAACCTAAGCACTTCATATTTACTACCTTACCAAATATGCAGAACAAGCCTTTCAAATGGGGTGTGATTATTGTCTCCATTTTATTAGAGAGGAAACTTAAGCACCGAAAAGCTTAGTAACTTCCTAAGGTTTTTCTTTTTCTTTTTCTTTTTTTTTTCACTTAAGTGAGGATGCTACATTTGTAGTCAGCTTCTGCTATAGTCAGCTATAAGCATGGTGTATACTGTCTCTCCCTGATTCTCAGCTAGGTCTGTAACACTTATACAGATGATACTGCATATGTTTGGGCCTGTGGATTTCTTTCCATTTTCCAAAAGAGAAAAAGTAAAGAATGTTTCTTATACGTGAGGCATAAATAGGAAGGCAACGTATCCACGCACTGTCAGGAATTAAACTATCAACTAGGAAGGATGGTGTCTCATCTTCAGAGAGGTTGCCACATGGGGGATAAAGACAGACTATCAAATCTCAGCTCTGCTGATCACCTGCTGGATGATTTCCGGGAAGGCTGTCTCCATTTCTTATGCTCTTTTATGCGAATATTAACCTAACCCATGGACTGTGGTATGCCCATAGAGGGTCGTATTTAGGAAAGAGATCAGTGAAAGAAAAGAATCTTATGAGAGCTGGCAAATTGGAAATTTTTATTTAAATTGTTCCTTAATATTTAAAGTTATCTAAAGATCTTTGCTCTTTGTGTAATTGTCTCTTAATAATTGAATAATAATTTGGTCTTTGTTAACGTTGCTTTTGTTGTTGAGCTATTTTATCTTTAACATTTTAAAGACCTTAGGACTATTTCTTTTTAAGCCGCATGCAAAAGAGGGCAACTGTTATAATCACACATGGATCAAGTTTTACATATAAAGGGGAAAAGATGAAAAATCAAAGGAATCTTATTGCTTTGTTACTCCTGTAATGATTAATGATGGCACTTCTGCTATATACGCGTTGAAATAATCAATGAGTACATGAAGAATTTAAATGAAACATCTGGCATTCACTGGATTACAATTAACAAAATACCAGACTATCTCTTAAGCAATAAAGCCATTTAATTATCTCGAATAACATCAAGTCTAGAGACAGTTACTCTAGGTTTGTGCCGCAACTCAAGGTTGTTATGGAGAATTCAGTCTCTTTTCATTTTTCTCCTGCCAAATCCTCAAAGTGTTGTGTGGCTTTTCCTTCTTAATCGAATTGTCTTGGCCTCAAAACGACTTTGGAAATTAAAGCTTAATGTTCTCGTATGATAGCATTCAAAGCAGGAACAAAGAGAAAGTATGGTGCAATATCATTCTCAGAAATCATTCATCATATGAATTCTTACCAAGTATAAAGGAGAATATGTCACATGACCAGGGTAGCCTCTGGAGAGGCCGGGAAACTTGGCATCTGTGAAAGGGAAATAGGCTTACATCTCTGATGCTCACCAGGTGGGCCACCTTCCCTGGAATCATTGTTGGCCACCTGGTCCCAAAACAATATAATGGCTCTGTTAGGAAGAAAGTCATGAGGACACTAATACAGAAATGTTCAAGTAGGTCTCTTGAGAAGTCCAATAATTAATTCAGTAATCCAAGAGTATTGAGAATTTTAAATAGAAAAAATTCAGGTCAAGGTTTCAGAAGATAAATACTTTCATAAGACTAAGTTGCCAACATGTGAGCTAAAAAATGAGGCTTCATATATTCAACCACGACTGTAGTTTACCTTTAACTAACTCACTGAGAAGAGTATTACATTATGTACTGCGACTTGGGAAATTCTCTAAGGATATTCAACAGAGCCTCGGAAAGAAATGCTTTCAAAATTGAATAAAGGTTGTTTTATTGAATACAATTGTTTTATATTATAAAATTAGAAAAATACATATAAGGGACTACTACAGGAAATTACTTGAGAAAGGCATTAGCCTGAAATATAAATAGCTTGAAATTAAGGTGAGTGAAATAACTTCCTGGCAGCAATTTCGTTTCTGGAAGTTTTATTCTAAGTAAATGCTGAATATTGTAAATATTGGCAGAAAAACACATTTACCATATCAAGTATGGTTCAAAAATTGCTTTTACTTCTTTCTGTGACTTTAGATTTCTCGTTAAGGAAACTAAATTAGGTAATCTGTCATTAGGGTTACCACCATACATCAGATTGCAGGCATTTTAGCATTATAGATGGCCAAATCCCATGACCAGCATTAGAATGAAGAAAACCTAATAGTATAAGCATAGCTCTTACCTGTGTTCAATAATTGAATAAAATACACAGATTAATCATTTATATATTTTAAGTTTCTAAATAGCTTATCCATGACACACAATCTGCATGGGTAATGAAGGAACATAAGACTATATAAAACTGTGCAAAAACATGCTTGCGTAAAGTATTATATTTCCAAATTAAACATATAAAGGTTTAGAAAATCAGAAAATTGGCAACATAAGTTTTTAATCTGACAGCTAAACTCTTGTTTCTTTCATAATTTCTGGCATAGTTTGAAACTAATATTTCAGTCTGAAAACATTTTTTTTTTTCAATTCCCATTTCCTACAGGCAGTAAGCACAGACCCTGTACCAGTTAAATTACACTACGACAAATCACATGATCAGGTCTGGGTGTTGAGCTGGGGTACCACGGAAAAAACTTCTCCAACACTGCAGGTAAGCACATTCCAGTATATTTGAGAAAAATAATGATTTTTAACCCTTCAGATAGCTCATTGGATATTTGTGGTGATCTTCCATTGGAGGACTGTACTTTAATCATATCTAGATTTGCACAGAAAAGGAGGGGGATAAAGTTAATACTAAAGTGCTTGTTTGGATGGGATAATATTGCAGTGCATACTTATCAAAGGTTAGATTTATATGTAAAAAGAAAAGCCAATGATGACAAAACTGATGCCATTAAGGAAAAAAGAGTCATAATTTACCTTTCAACAATCCCCTCCCTCCCTCCAATTTTCAGGAGAATTTTCTTGTTTCCATCTCTCTTCAAAATAGGGCATGTGTTGGGATCCCTGGGTGGCGCAGCGGTTTGGCGCCTGCCTTTGGCCCAGGGCGCGATCCTGGAGACCCGGGATCGAATCCCACGTCGGGCTCCCGGTGCATGGAGCCTGCTTCTCCCTCTGCCTATGTCTCTGCGCCTCTCTCTCTCTCTCTCTCTCTCTCTCTCTCTCTCTCTCTCTGACTATCATAAATAAATAAAAATTTAAAAAAATTAAAAAAAATAGGGCATGTGAACTAGAGATTAAGAGACTTGGACAGGCTCAAGGCAGATCTCTATCTTTTCCCAAACAGATAGTATCTTATTATCTGAGCACAGGCTCATTTCTAATTGGGGAATAACTGGTATAGTCTTTGCGGAATTTGCTTAGGTTTTAAGGTTGTTTATATACAACTTGACAGAGAGAGGAAAAGGATATATATTTTGATGATGTCTCTTTGGCACAGTTTCAATTTCTGGAGTTATAAGTTTAATGGAAAACTGAGAGGGAATGAGAAGGAACATTTAACCCTGAAAATGTGTTTTATCTTTGTCTCAAACTACCTGGTGATTGTAGCACTGCCCTGAACATTTTCTCTTCTTACAAAGTCCCAAATCATTAACCTTTGGCCAGTTTTCAGTTGTCTCTTGAGTACAGTGTTTTTAATTTTAATCAGTTATCACTAAGAATACGTATTTCTGAAGTATTTTTAATTTTGCAATATTTAACTCACAAAGGGTAGGCCTCCAGAAATGGAATCTTTTAAAGGAACTATCAGAATGACAGGGCATTTTATTTTTCATTAGAAACATGTGTCATTTGAAATATCTAACATATATAGTAATATTTTGGTTATCTATTGTGGCAAATCAAATCAACCCCCAAATTTAATGTGTTAAACAGAATTAAAGAATGGCCTATTACCCATAGTTCAGTGGTTCTATAATCTGTGGAGTTTGTAGGCATGGGTAGGGAACCCTCAGATGGCTGCACTCCTGTGATTACAGAGCTGGGTGGCTCAAAAGGGCCTTATCCCCCACGTCTGTCATGTGAGAGTGGTGAGTAGCTGGGTGGCTTGGGTCTCCTGCGTGTGCCTACTCATCCTTTAGACTGGCATCCGCAGCATGGTGGTTCCAGGTTATAAGACAGTGGAAGTTGCAAAGCTGATTAATATCTAGGCCCTCGAATTCTCATAGAGTCGCTTGCACCGAGGTGAGTCACACTGCCTTCTTAGATTTAGGAGGACGAAGTAGCAGAGCCTGTCTTCTAATGGAAACACTACAGTCTTCATTGTGGACAATTGTTTGACTGATCTATCACAAAATGACAATATTGTCCGGTTATTTGATATTTTGCACTTAAATCTTGACCAGATAAAACAGGTCAATATATATGATTTTAAAAATTCACTCTTATGAATTATTTTTAACTCTATTACCCTTAAAGTAAAATAAAAACAGCTTATAAAAGTAAAAAAATATATTTATTTTCTTTTAAAGTTGTATGAATTTTCAGTGTATCATGTTCTTTGGAACTGAATCCTTCCCGTCCACTTTGGTACTTGCTCCTTTGATAAATTAATAGCTCTCTCAGTGTTGCAATCCCTCCATAAAGCATTTTAGGCAAACTCCTTTGATATCATACAGAAAGGGCAGAAAAAGGCTTTGAAAAGGAGTTAAGTAACTTCTCACATGTTATTCAGCCATTTATAAATGGCTTCTTTTACTCTGAATGTCCAAAAAATATATATACTTGTAAGATTTAATGAATCTTAAATATTTGTTGGGTGGAGGGAAAGGTAGGTCTCACCTATTTTACCTGAAAATTGTAAAATAAATGTAAGAATTGAGAAGTACTCTTGAAATAGTACATGAAGATTTATTTGCATAAAGTAACATTTATACACATGTTCATACATAGATATATGTGACAGATTAAGTAAGATAGATACATGGATAGTTAGATAGACAGGCTGACAGGAAATACAGGGTCTCTGGATCAGAGAACAGACATTTCTTCTTCCAGGAGCATGCTAGCATTCACACTGCATCCCCCATCCTTCCTCATAGGGTGACGTGGTGGGAGACTAATCTTACCCTGTATATACAGCATAGTGGTACTAACAGGAGAAGGACCCTGGAATTATATGTCTCAAAGGCTTTTTTTTAGGCTGTTGACACATGGGTCCATTCTCTCCCATGACAGATAGGGATTATGATTACTCTGGAACACAAATTTTATCAGGTTGGCACCCTGGAATGTCAGTAAGGCTCAAAGGAGTTAAGTCTCTACCTCTCTCAGGAGCAATATGCCACCCTTAGCTTCCAAGGCATTTTGGGGACACCATCATCCTTTCACCAACTTTACTGGTGCCTTTTGCTCAGAAAGACCTGACTTAACTTAAAAGTCGAAATATTCATGGATAATTGTCTTCCAACAAGATTATCAAGAAACATTGGCAAAGGAAATGGGATTTAATATTTGTTTTACTTACTTATTTATTAAAAGATTTCATTTATTTATTCATGAGAGACACACATTGAGAGACACAGAGACATAAGCGGAGGGAGAAGGCTCCATGCAGGGAGCTGATGCAGAACTTGATCCTGGGACCCCGGGATCACGCCCTGAATCAAAGGCAGACACTCAACCGTTGAGCCACCCAGGTGTCCCTTAGATTTGTTTTAAAAGAGGAGTAGACTTTCATTTGGAGAAATCAAGTTCACCAAACCAAAAACCCGAGCAAGGTCCCAGTTTTGCTATAGTGTCCCTGTGCCATGTTGAAAGATTAGACTAGAACTAGAGACATTGTGCTAGGTTGTGATGGTTAGTTAGGCAGTCACTTTTTGCCCTAATGCTGTGTATCTTATAATAGTGGTCACTAAAACCTTGAAGGTGCAAAATCATTTTTTCAAGGATCTGAAAGTCCTATGTGTACTTCTACTCTGTGTTTTCATTGTGACTAGAAGTCTATACACCTTTGCCTGTTATGGAAGCAAAATATATTATTTTCTGTGATATTTATAATTAATTAATAAAACCCATAAACCATTATAATGTTAGATATACAAGACAGTGATTTTCCAATTAGTGTTCTCAGATGAATTCTCAAATATTTATCCTAGTTATTTTTCTTTCTTTTTAAAAGGCATCTATGCTTTATGAAAATAAGAAATGCTGTTTTAAAAGCTGTGAGTCTGTCATCTGCACAGCTTTATAATCCATGTGTAATGTCTTTTCAAATGCACAAAAATTAGAGAAGAAATGCCTTCAGGAAACAACTTGGAATAAAGTCTTTACATCTTGGTATTGGCCAGGAAGTAGGCCCCAGCCAGATGGGGTGACAGTGGGAGTGGCAGCTGTGGGCTTGTGGAAGGAAGGCATCACACATGGAGACACCAGCAGCAGGATGCCATTAGGAATGAACCAAGGATTGTCATAAGATTGAGCCTACTGATTAGGGTGCATCATAGATCAATCTGTGTGTCTTTGCAGCTGGTAGGCTCAGTCCTGAATCTGGCAACCCACCACTTCCTGTTCAATTGCAGCAGTGAGAAGAATCTAGAACTGTCAGTGAACAAAGTCCAGACTGAGAGGAGCTAGAGAAGTGGGCATTGCATTTTTTATATCCTAAGACTATGTCAAACACGAATGAGATGCTCACCTAATATACCTTCATTGGCATAAAATAGTTTTGCATCAGTAAGATTGAGATACATTATGGTGTTCCTTGAATATATTAAATTATGTGATGCCTGTAAACTACTGAGAACATACACTGACTGGCATTAACAAGCTTTCAGTAAATATTATTATTGCTGCCATCAGTCTAAGTATTATTATTAATTTCAAATACTATGTACATGCATTTCAGAGTTATGCACCTCTATCCAAACTAAAGGGAAGAAAATTTGAAGAGTTTCTTTCCCATTACTTGAGTTAATCTTTATTTAAATTTTGTAGACATTATTATGAATGGCTAAAATCCATTAAAAACTTCCTCACTGACATTCACTAATAAAATAGGTGAAGTATCTTTAAAGCTTTTATCAAAGACTTTGATTCCTTCTTCCTCTGGACACATGATAGGCTCCTTTTGGTTAGGTGGAATCATATGATTAGTTCTGGCAAATATAGTCTGTTGTAAATGAAAACATTCAAGTAGTTCGTTGGTTGCCCATTCAGAATGGGATACTAAGTGAAACAGTACATACCCCACGAAAAACCGCTGGAAAAGTAATAGGTAGGAAGTGAAATCTTTATTTCCCAAGACTCTAAGATGTTTATATTTTTTTTTCTATTTTGTCTTATTTTTTAACCACAACATAACTAAGCCTTTCTAGTTATAATAATCGATTTTCACTGGGAAAGCAATTTCCAGTGGAACTCAATGAAAGTATACCCATATGAATGAAGAAACATAGCCCCTCAGAAACAAAACAAAACAAGGATCAAAGTGCTACTTACTTCTGTCATAAAAACCAAAGGAAAAGGCTCCATTTTGAGGGAGGAAAGTCTATTTAACTTAACAGTCAGTCAATAGTTTCGGAAGTTTAATTTGGTGGCCATATGTAGAAAGGATTTAAAAGGGGAGAAATAAAGGCAGAAAGTTCTTTAAAAGGCTAGCAGAACAATGGTTGTCCAGCAGGAACAATAGGGGAAAAAAATGAGGAGGTGTGAAAAATCTGAAGAACTGTGAGAATTTGGTGCATAATGGGATACAAAGAATAAAAGAGTTTAAAGGTAGTGACCTTCCTTTAATGGACCATAAAAGTTTTAAAAACCAATTAATGATGAATAAGAAGAGGAAATGTCTTTGATTAAAGTTACTTAAAACTGGGGCACCTGAGTGGCTCACTTAGTTAAGCATCCAACTCTTGATTTTGGCTCAGGTCATGATCTCAGAGTCCTGAGACTGAGCCCTGCCTGGGGCTCCTTCCTCAGCAGGGAGCTTGCTAAGACTCTCTTCTCCTTCCTCTGCCCCTCTACTCTTCTCATTCTCTCTCTCTCTTCTCCATTTTTTTTTATTTTCAAATATTGGAAATATTAATTTCAATTAAGGGAGGGTAAAATTCTGAAGTTACTAAGAGCTAATATATTTCATATGATTTGTTTTGGAGTCTTTGGTTTGTTTCCAGCCCTGTTCTATATTAGGAGAAGTTTTTTGTTTATCAGTTACACCTCAACAAAGCAAAAGAAAGGAAGAAAGGAAGAAAAAAAAGAAAAAAAGAAAGAAAGAAAGAAAGAAAGAAAAGAAAGAAAGAAAGAAAGAAAGAAAGAAAGAAAGAAAGAAAGAAAGAAAGAAAGAAAAAAGAAAGATGGGCAAGCTAAAAATCTCATTTACACCCTATGTATTCTTGCTTGTGTTTTTCTCATTATAGCAAAGTCAATACTTTTATAATACAAAAGCTTGTTTCTATTTATTTTATAATTTAAGCAGAAATTATTCAAGACAAATCTTTTTCTTTCTTTATAAAAACAAATTTCTGTGTTGGAAATAAGCAAACAATTACAAAATTCCAATTTGCTTAATGATACACTAATTTTGAGGATGGTAATAAAGAGTCTAGGAAACTGCTTCTGATTTGTTTCATCTCTAAATCATATTAATGCTGATACTATTAAGGGAATGCACTGCCGAGGTCTAACCGCGGTCTGCTCCATTTAGGTGATAACCCTGGCCAGCGGGAATGTGCCACACCACACCATTCACACCCAGCCAGTGGGAAAGCAGTTTGACCGAGTGGATGATTTTTTTATTCCTACTACGACACTCATCATCACCCACATAAGGTAAGTGCTAAATGAGTGATCAACTTTTAGATTTCTCTTTAATTTTGACAGCAAGGATAAAAAAATCATAAAAATAAAATACATCTTTATTCCACAATAAATACACACATAATTGCACATGATTTACCTTGTCTCATCTGCTTGATGAACTTTTATCAACATTAGTGATGAATTTCTTGCCATGTATTTCTTTTTAGGCCTCGTAAAAGTGAATTTTAAAAGATCAGTCGCATTTTTAAATCAATTTTATAGTTAATATTTTTGCAAATTGTTATTAGAGTCTTCCTATTAGGCTTTTGCAAAATGCTGACATTCGAACTCGGTGTGATAAAAGAAGCACTCTCAGAAATCCATTAATAAATAAAAAATAATAAATAAATAATAAATAAATAAATAAATCCATTCAATATATTATAATGACATTCTTCTACTATTTTTGCCCATATAGAAATTAATATAAAACTGTATTAGGAGGCACATAGCAAGTTGAAGTGAAATGTTTGAGGCCTACACTTTGAGGAAACACATTGATGTGTTCTATCCTTGTATGTATTTAGAAGAGGTAAAGAGGTAATTTCTTCTAATGACATCACTCCGAAGTTCCATCAAAGTGCTTTAAATGCCTGAAAGAGGGAGACTGGATATATCACAATTTCAAGTATTATATATTTTGATAATTTGCTGAAAAACTTTTAAAGTACTGCTAACAACATTAGTGAATTTGAACCAAACTAATATTTTTGTTCTGTTTCTCAAGTGAATTACGAAGGGGAGTTGCTCCAGATATGTTATATGAGTCATTATTTGATCCACGTGTATATTGTTTCTCTTGTATAAAATTGGAAATTATCTAAGAGTTGGAGTTGTAAGAATTCCGAGAGACTGTGCAATTTAACCTCCAGAAATAAAAAAGGGGGATTGACAAATTGGAAATGTGGCTCATAGTCAGACACTACATGTAGACTGTTATTTGCATAGCCAAGTATGTTTTCAAAGAGGTTAGTATATTTTTCAAGCAATTGGCCATTACTTTCAGAATGTCTATTATGTGCTCAGCAATAAAGTGATTAAAACCATAATGACCTGTTACAATTATTCCATACTTTATGGAAAATAAGTAGAATTATTGAAAATGCAGCATATTATTAAAGTATTTATATCAAAGTAATAATTTTTACATCTGACTATAAGTGCTGTAATAGTTCAGACCCAGAAGAAATCACCATATGAATGAAAAATGGCACCACTTGAGATGGTATCTAAAAAATAGATGTTTCTATACTTACTCGGTAAGGATCCAACTTCATTTAATTGGCAATGAGTGTTATAATTAATTCCTTTGTCATTTTCAAGTTATTGATAAATTATTACTAATCAATAATTTACTATGTGATACTTGATTTGCCCCATTTGCCTATTACGTGTTACTCTATTTAATATACTATTATCAACTTTGCCTTTTTGCTCAAATGCTCTAGTAATGGAATTATTTATAGCAGATTTCCTGTGTCCCTAATACTAATAGGGCTAATAGTATATAGTTTGGGCTATTCTTTACCCTTGCAACCAGTAAATTATATCATTGTGGTGACATGGCTACCACGTCAAGAGTTTAACTTTGTTAAAATGCAGTGAGTGCTTTGTGTAATTCTGAGTTTGTATTTATAATTGATATACAAGATTACATCACACAATTACAGGATTGCTATACATACAGTCAGAACTTAGCATCTCTCTGGGGTCTAAATGGTTACTCTAGGGGCCCCTGGGTGGCTCAGTTGGTTGAATGTCTGCCGTTGATTCAGGTCATGATCCCGGGGTCCTGGGGTTGAGTCCTGCATCAGGCTCCCTGCTTGGTGGGAACCTGTTTCTCCCTCTATATGCTTTCTCTCTCTCTCTCTCTCTCTCTCTCTCTCTCTCTCTCTGTTAAATAAATAAATAAATAATAAATAAATAAATAAATAAATAAATAAATAATAAGACATAACTGGAGTTGGAGCTAATAATTAGAAGAACATCCGAATTATGTGAACACATATTAGGCAAAATCTTAGTTATGTGTATACATTGTGAAAAACATTGAAAGGATTGCTTGAGGATATTTTAAAACATCTTTTTTTTCCTTTTAGGGATGGATAATGAAATGCAGGGTTATTTTGCCATACTTATAAAACATACCAAATTAAATTATAGCACGCCTACTTGCATAGCTTGCATGTAGAGTCCCATTTTCATGAATGTGAATGGTGGTCAAATTTTCTACTGCACTTCAAAGTAATTATTCCTATTACTAAGTGAAGAGTGAGAGTAAAAATTAGTATGCGTTTCCAAAATCAGAACATTAAATATAAACTATTTTTAACATAATGGGGATTTTTTTCTACATCAGGAAAATCGGAGGGAGGGATACGATCTTTTCTCCTACCGATTTCATGTAACACATTTTTCGAACCAAGTTTGACACGTGTTTAAATATGTGTTGCAGAGATTGATCTTTTTGTAACTGTGTTTTTCAGACTTTGAGACTATTTCCTGACTGCTGTGCTTGGTATATCTTTCCAGGCCAAGCAGAAGGTCTGACACATAATATGTGTTTAATTAATATGAGTTTCCTTCCTCTGACCCCTCATCACATTAATCTACTTTTCGCTCAGATTGCTACACCCTCATTTCAAATAATTTATATCTCCAGTGTCTGAAAAGCTCCTGGACAAGTGTCAGGATTTTATATCCTAAGTGCCTAAAAACTGGTAGGCTCTTAATTCATGTTTCTCACAGGAATGGAAATAAAGAAGAAAGTGCTACACTATTTCCTAAACTGGACTATGTATAGGATTGAGGGAATTACACAGCATTAAGGGAACTGTATTTCTTATGTACTGAATTTCCCAGCATCTAACACAGTATCAGAGATGCCACAAGTACTGCATTAAGAGCATATAAATTATGTAGAAGCAGTAAATAGAAGTAATAAGCCCTTACATCTCCTGTCACAGATCTGAGCCTGAATGTCCCAGCAACATCATTTGTCATAATCAACAATCATGTTTAAATATTAAGTTGCAGAGTTCCTGGGTGGCTCAGTTGGTGCAGCATCTGCCTTCGGCTCGGGTCATGATCCCAGGGTCCTGGGATGGAGCCCGCATCTCATTGAGCTCCATGCTCAGCGGGGAGTCGGCTTCTCCCTCTCCTCCTGCCTGTGCTCTCCCTCTTTCAGTGTTAAGTACATAAATAAAATCTTTAAAAAAGATAAAAATAAATATTAAGTTGCCCAAGTTGCCTATAATCATTGGCCATACTCCTCATAACCTACACTGGTGCAGGGGCTCTCCTATGAACAGTTAAAATTTTGCTACAAGTCTCTATTTTTCCCTGCTTGGCTTCTTCTCATTGTTTTTCTACATTTTTTTTTCCTTCTTCAGTGTCTGTAATTCTCAGGCTTGTTTATTCTAGTCTGTAAAGTAAATCAAGGCTGAGGAATTTAAGGGAACCAAAAACTATTTTACCAATCCCTATTAAAAATAAACTTGTTTAAAAAAATGATCTTCGCAGAATGTAGGAACTTGTTCACTTTTTAAGACGACTTAAAATTCTCAGCACTTTAAAAGTCCCTGGGTCCCAATTTATGTTCCCTCCTTTTAATTGAAATATACTTGACATATTAATATTAAGTATTATGCTATGTTAATTTCAAATGTACAACATAGTGATTTGAGAATCCTCTGCGTTGCACAGTGCTCACTACGGTAAGTCCCGTTACCATCTGTCACCATACATAAATATCACCATATTATTGACAATATTCCCTGTCGGTACTTCTTAATCCCCTTCACCTATTTCATCCATCCCCTCCCTGTTCCCTCCTTATCAACCACCTGTTTGTTCCTTGTATTTATGATTCTGTTTGTTTATTCATTTGTTTTGCTTTTTAGATTTCACGTATAAGTGAAATTATTTGATATTTGTCCTTGTCTGACTTATGTCACTTAACATAATGTCTTCTAGGTCCTTTTGTGTTGTCATAAAAGACTTCATTTGTTATTATGGCTGAGTAATATTCCCCTGTGTGTGTGTGTGTGTGTACATATGTATCACATCTTCTTTATCCATTTTGAATGGCCTGAGGACTTTTAATTTCAGAAAACTCATTTCCATTTAAAAAATATCAGAGGAGGAAGGCCTGATTCCATCCACTCATTCGGTTCCTTAGCTGAATTCCTTCCCATTCCTTGAGAGACACAGCCTAGACCATACACAATTATTCCTATTTTTTTAGAAAATGTGTTGTCAAAGGGAGCACAACATCCAGTTATTCCTATTTTATCCTCTGACTTTATTAGTGAAAAAGCCCCTTTGATTTTATGCATTCCTGCCTTCTCCATAGAAATCAAAAGAGTACCTGAGCCATAAGCTAGGGATAAAACAGGTACATCGATGCCGTACTACCTCTGATCTAAATCAAAATGGTCTTTAAACTATTGAGTTCTGGTTAGTGGACCCAGCTTGTGTTCCTGGATTACACTCTCTTGAATATGAGTGCTTACCCAGGAGATAATAGAGAACTCTAGACCAGCATGCAGCCAGCCATTCTTTAAGATCTAAGTATGTGAGGGCACCTGGGTGGCTCAGTGGTTGAGCGTCTTCTTCAGCTCAGGGCGTGATCCCTGGGTCCTGGGATTGGGTCCCACATCAGGCTCCTCACAGGGAGCCTGCTTCTCCCTCTGCCTGTGTCTCTGCCTTCTCTCTGTGTCTCTCATGAATAAATAAATAAAATCCTAAAAAAAAAAAAAGAAGGCCAACAATATTAAAAAGAAAAAAAAGATATGCAGATGTGAGCCCCATATGTGAATTCAGTTTAGCTTAATGAAATTAAACTTTCTGGAAGATAGAGGAGATGTATTATAATCCTGTCTCCCCAAGTGCCAACTATCTACTCAGCTTCTGAATGGTATTGACTAAATACTTACTGACTAAAAGTTTGTTTCTAAAATATTATTAAA